TTTAAACAACAGAATTATGAATTCTTAACTGCGTATTGCGTTACATTACCTCAGAAATAGTGTTCGGGGTGGAGAGGAACTCCCTTTTGAAAGAGACGGGGATGCTCATCATCTCGCTCAGGGGCATAAATTTCGGATATCTCGTGTTCACTTCAGCTGGAATTGTTTGGTTTAAGGCAATAATTTGACCCCAAATACGAACTAAGTTAACACTAACTTACCGAGACATAATAATACAAATATTGAAATCTGACCCGAAACCTGACGTCTGATTTGGCTAAGAATATAACACAAACAGCGGTGATAAACATTGTATTCAAACTCATTCTTAATCAAGCTACGATGCCTAAGAATAAGAGTCTATACGATTCTGATTTGATTAAAATGGACTCGATCTCCAGGTAAATAACTTGTACGTCGAAAATCAGTCCTTTAAATTTTAAAGCTGGAAGTCGGAAGTCGGAAGTCAGAAGTCAGAAGTCAGAAGTCGGAAGTCGGAAGTCGGAAGTCGAAAATCGGAAGTCGCAAGTCGGAAGTCGGAACTCAGAAGTCAGAAGTCAGAAGTCGGAAGTCGGAAGTCGGAACTCAGAAGTCAGAAGTCGGAAGTCGATAGTTGGAAGTCAGAAGTCGGAAGTCGGAAGTCGGAAGTCAGAAGTCAGAAGTCGGAAGTCGGAAGTCGAAAGTTGGAAGTCGGAACTCAGAAGTCAGATGTCGGAAGACGGAAGTTGGAAGTAGGAACTCAGAAGTCAGAAGTCGGAAGTCGGAAGTCGGAAGTCGGAAGTCCCTCCTTGGCTTTCGTAGTGAGAGAGTGTCCCCAATAGGGTTCTTCAATCCCGCCATCCCGACCGGAATTTTACCTCAATCCCGTAATCCCGACGGTTTCTATCGGTTAATCCCGATCCCGGTCATATTTTCCGAAGTCCTTACCTCAACAGAAAAGATCCTCGAAGTCTAGGTCCTGATTCCCTCCCAACAGACCTAAGCACTGACTATTAGGTTCAATTAGCTGTATCTCTCTGCACTAAAACGATTATCTCGTTTATATGTTTTTCATGTCTAGTTTTAAATGAGTTGTGTCAGTGATTCAGTCATTTTTATGATCTTTTATAGCTCGTTTCTTTTCTTTTCATTTTTTCTTTTTCTTTTCTATTTTGCCTGTTTTGTTTTGCAACCCCTATCTTCCGGATCACTGCGATCACTGCGATCCCTGAAAGACTTGTCTGTTGGGGATGATAGCAATCAAAGAGAAGCATCATAAGCATATATCAGAGCATGCCACTGTAAACTCACAGTTCACCACACATAATGAGAAGTCACTGTCAATCGCAACTCAGAGGACAGTTTTCTCATGGACAATTTTTCAGCCATTGCAACAATCATCTGGAAATTGTACCATATCGAGTATGTTTTTGCTTAACAGAGTCCTGAAACTTATACTCTTTTCAAGCCTGGTTTAACCTGTACTGCATGTTTCGGCTCAAAAGGATAATTTTTTTATCACCAATGACCGAAGCATTTTACAGAAGGTTGTATGGAGTTATATAAAATTTGAATGATAACTATTTCTATTTTTTTCCTTTAAAAATTTACTGTAAAGTTTTGAAACCTGTCTAAGCAGCGTCCTTTTTTATGTCGTCCTGGTGCTTCTGTAAGGACTGTCAGCCATTTGTGAACAGTGAGAGATTTCGGTTTTTAGTACATCCATTTTGAAATCACCGGTTATCCTTGAAATCTGATTGGCTCTCATCAGCAGAGTGATTTATTCACAAATCACACTTGACTGTCTATTTTTTGCTCAACAGTGTAAACTGCATCTTCTTCCTGGCCAATGAGAATGGAATACTAAAACAAAACAATCAGATTTCAAGGCTTTTTCAAAATAACCAATCACATTGCAGTAAAATGAAAGGAAAAAAGCCATTGTTTGGCAAATTTTGGTACTGACCAAAATCTTGTAGTTCTTGTATTTCGGCTATTAAATTCTGCAATTTTAAAACGGATGTAATAAAGTGGCAACTGAACTGAGTGGCGTGCAATTTTGGTCTGAAATCATTATTGTGATTTGAAATCGAACCCGCTGTTGCACACTGTTTGGCCATGGCTTAAGCAGTGGCATGATGGGCCAGGAGGTTTGGACACAAACCTCTCTCCACGCAAAAGTAGATACGGTGCCTGCTTTCTTGGGATTTGCTCATACATCCTGTCACACATGCTAAGAGTACCTAGAATGAGCTGGCATTTTTTTTTCTGGGGNGGGGGGGGGAAGAAGAGCCACACCTTTACTCTATTCATACTCCAGGAATTGGAGTTTAGCGTCATAACTAATGAGCCATCTCACTCCTCCAATCCCATTAGAAGATTGAACTACGAATATCTTGTGACAATATACATGTATCAGGCCATGTGCCTTGGAACTATTAGTTCCTTGGGGAAATGACCCTCAATCTTCTCTGAGGCGAATTTTTGGAAAACAAAACTCACTGTTGCTCTAGGGACCAATCATGCTGTCGTTAGCTGCCATGAATCCAGATATTTTTCTGTGTACTCAAAACCTCAAAATAACAGTTTACCATCTAAGTTTGATGTGAATTTAAATTAACAAAAAAGATATTATTATTAGTATTAACGTGTGCCATCCGTGACATAGCTACCTTAAAGTAATAATAGCATGCCTGTGTCCTGAAATTGAACATGTTTCGTAACAGGGTACGACTTGGTTCCGGGCCAAACTTGATATCGAAGTTAGCATAGCGTTGAAAACAGCCATAAAAGCCATCGAACGACAGGGTGGAAAAATCACTTGTGGTTATTATAACAAACTGGGTCTACGCCTCTTACTCAAACCAGAGAAGTCATTGAGAAGTTTGAAGGGCGCAAGATCCCAAGAAGAGCTCGTCCACCCAGGAAGTTAATGGAATATTACACAAGCGTAGAAAACAGAGGCTATTTGGCAGATCCTGTTGAACTTGAAAATGCCAGACTACAAACTTACAAGCTTGAAAATGAAGTGGATTAGTGCTTAACATACATTGCTACTGTTTCAGTAGTGCTGTTTGGTCGATTACTCTAAAGTGATTAAAAATTGTGCAGTTTTGTTCAAAAACAAAATAGCGTTTTCCTCTCTTTCGACCGCAAATTCACTGGTTTAAAGAATTAAGTTTGGGGTTGGGGTGGTAGGGAGGGCGCGTTTTGCTAGAATGTTCAGTTTTCCATGCCTTGTAAACTTGTAATACTCATTCTGTACAGGAAGTGTTACACAGTCTTAAATGCCATCATGTGTCTGTAGTGCAAGGTTCATTATATTTATTATAAGAATTTTTTTTTTACAATTTTTAGAATTATAAAGGAAGAAGTTTTTAGACAAGCTGGTGTGATTAATGAATTTAATTACATGTGAATAGTGTGATAAAGTGTCCGGATTTGTATGTGTTACTCGTATTATTCTCCATTGTTTCCCCGAAAGTCCTTACTTTCGAGCGTCCGTTCTTTCGCGGCTAATAACCATTAAAGAGCTTCTTTTGGGATGTTTTTTCATTACGTAACGTAACGGTTCTTTAGTAGGTCCTCGTCGCGGTATGTAAACTCGTTTCTATGTATATTTCCTTAGCGTTGTCTTAAATATTTACATATGAACTGAATCGCGTACTACAAAGGTCCTTGATTGTTCGAAATCTGATCACCGTGTTCTTAAACAATCCTAAGAAATCTTTTGCAATTTATGGGCTGAAATAAGGTCAGCTAAGTACGAGAGCGATTTACGAACTATGCGAAACACAAAATAATTTCGACGTGTCTTGTCATATTTCAAAACCTTTTCCAAAACAACCGACATTGACAAGTTTCATGACAGCTTTAGTTTGTAGGTCAAGCTTTGCTGATCACAGTTCTTAGAATCCTTGGCGTTCTGTTATAATTATTCTACGAAAGCAGACAAGAAGTCAAAACATATCTAATATCACTTCGTGATTGGTCTGTATTATCAGGTTAATAAAAGCCATATCCGATCACAAGACTTCAC